ATTAAATTTAATAACATTTAATATAAATTTATTAGAAATTATATTCAACTGTACTATATAATTATATTAAATAAATATTAATTTATAATTTATATTAAATAAAAAATTAACATTTAATATAAATTTAATATAAAATATAATTTATAATTGTTTTTAATATCAATATCAAGTTAAATATAAATATATTAATATAATAAAAAAACATTTTTTTTAATAAAACTTTTTAATAGAATTAATTTGCACGAAGTTTAAAAAAAAAAAAAAAAACAAACAAAAAGAATAAAAATCAAGCTGATGATTTATTTTTGATAACTATTGTAAATTAAAGAAAAAAAATTCTATTTGAATAAAATCGAATAAAAATTATATCCTTAAATTTAAGGATATATAATTGCGAACAAACTTGGAACAATCGATTAACGCAGCACGTATTTCCTTGTGGGTAATTAAGGAATACATCGGAATAGAATTGTCTAATCGCGTGTTTACTAGTAATAGCCAAACATAGATTAATTAACTAGACCCTTGTCTTCTCTTCTCCTACCGCAACGACCACGAACCATTGTCTAATCGTATTGCTCGATTTGCCGTTGTTATGTACATCCTGTTAAATACAGGAAACAACTTCCTGTCTTATCACACAATGGATGATTGTTCAATGTTATTGTTCAAACGATTAGATTTTTTTATTTTTCATTTAATTTAATATATATATAGCAATTCTTACCTGTCATCTTTTTCTTTTTTTTTACACATTCTCAATCAAATTTTCATTCATTAGATTCTTTCATTCGTTCACACTTATCATTCATATTGTGTCATCACAACATCATCATCATCATCATTGATTCATTTATTAAAATACTAAACGTTACACCATAAATGCTAAAGAAATAAATAATTCTTACACACACAGACACACACACACACAAGTTAACCCTTTCGCTACTACAGGCGACTATAGTCGCTCTCCATAAAATGCTACTGACGTATTACGGGCGACTGAAGTCGCTCTATATAAAATGTCACTCACATACTACGGACGGTTATAGTCGCTATGCATAAAATGTCGCGTATTGTACATTGTGTACATAAATACATATGACGAACGATTAGAGTTACTTCAAAATCGAATTTAATAAAAAATTAATATGTTTTTTTAAATGTTATAAATATTATAATTTGTGGAGTTGTTTTTTTTTTTTCAATAAACACCGTCAAACCAACCAACTCGGCTTGCCGTGAAGCATAAACGCAGCCGTTGCGTTTATATACGCCCCTTAGCATATATAAACTAATTTTTTAACAATAAATAAATAATAAAAAATATACGCCGTTCAAAAACAAATGGCACCATCGTTGGACACATTTTTGGCGCAGCTGGGCACATTCAGCGGAAATACCACGGCCGAGAAGTCGCCCATTGCGAAAGGGTTAATAAAATATACGATATTTTATAATAAACAACAATAATAATAATAATAATAATAATTAAAAATTAAATCATAAATATCTTTAGCATTTATAGAGAATAGATTTGTTATAAATTTCATTCATACTTTCACACCCGTTCTTGTCAAACTTTCACACCCTTTCACATCGTTCGTTACACTTGCTTTCCCTCAACACACACTTTTTCAACCCATCCCACCCAGACCCGGTCTTTTTCGTTCGATTTTGTTTTTTTTTGTTTTCTTTGTTTCTATTTTTTTTTTTTTTTTTCAATAAAATCTATCTCGAATAATCAACGAATAATACGATCTGGTAAAAATATAAGTTAAAAAGGTATATACAGGTAATGCCCGTAAATCTAGTGTTAATGAGACTAAAATGCGACATCACGATTTATCATAGTTTTTGTTTTCTTTGTTTCT